TTCACAGGCGGACCGGGTAGCGCCTGGATTCTCTCGTGTGTAAAATAGATGGACTTCCCCACTTTGGGCTCCGGGTACCTCATTTCTGGAGGAAGTGAGAATAACCGGAGGTGCGCTTTTCTTCAGGCTTTTCTTGGTTTCTTTTCCCAGACTGTGGAATTTAAATGAGCTGTTTTAGCCATCCCCCAAAGTAATACGAAGAAAGGTCCTTCCGCGTGTTCTAGAGACTTTAAGCAGAAATGTATTGCCTCGTAGCCGATTTTCCTAAAACGACAAAGCTTAGGCAGGCGTAGAAGTGGTGCATGTATTTGTTTCTCCAAATTTATGAACCCAATAAGCTCTGTCAATGCAATCTGTCAAAGAGGTAGTGACCTCAAAGCTAATCAAGTAAAAATTATAGTTACCTGCTGTGAAACTTCAGTTATGGTATTTAATTTAAAAAAACAAACAAAAACCCAACCCAAACCAACACGCCATATGGTAAGGGACAAAATATTAAAGTGCTTAAGATCAATTCAAGAGACAAAATAACCCTACACTGAGTTAGTTGCCATGCCCCCAGAACCACCTGTTTTGCCTTATCCTAGTTTTTTTTGTTTTTACTTGCTGTAGAGTCCTAAACACTCTGTCAGTATTTCACAAGTACGCTACCTGAATATGTAGAGGCACTATTGTGTGTAAATATACCTGCAAAATTGAGGGGAGAAGGGGAGTTGAGTTTCCTGAAGTTTAGAGACTAAACCAGATTTATGAAGAAATTTTATAAACTGGAGTTTCTCTTTTGACTAAAACCAGGAGATGAGCTGAGAAAAGGGGCAGGAGAACAAAATATTTACAGGGGAAAAAAAACATAGACTGACTGAATTATCAAAAAGAGAGTAAAACCAACTTATATAGATTACTGTAATGCTTTTTTTTTTTTTTTTTTTTTTTAGTAAACACGCAAGTGAATGCATAGCTATCAAAAGGTTTGATGCTTTAAAAAATGAGAGACTGAAAAGAAACCTTATGTTTTTATCAGTTCAAGAAATCACTCTTTTTAATGCTGGAGGGCTTGCATTTCAATGGTGCTATACTCTGCAAACACTGAAATCTTAAATCATGGAATAGTTGGGTAGCTTGCCACATAATGATGGATTTCTCTGAAAAATAGAAAAATAAGCCAACTTAGTGTTATTGGTTCATGTATTTCTCTCTCTTTTTTTCTTTTTTTTGGTAGGCTTTTTCTGTTGTTTCAAAGCTGCTATCTCAGCGTAAACTTGACCTGCTGGATGAACTTGTATCAGCAGAGGTAAATGCTTTTTATCTCTTATTCTAGCAATTGATTTTCCATTATGAAGTCACGTGTATTCAGCCTGTCATTATCTATAAATACTGCCAGTTTGGTTTAATTTGGGAAAAACAGGATAATGCAGAACAGGGCAATTTTGTCCTGCAGCTTTTTAATGTTTAATTTCAAGGCTTGAAACTTAAAGTTACTGTATTTAAAAAAACCCAAAATATTCTTGCCATTGTGCATAAGGACCAATTGCCAAAAAGATTGCTGGTGTACCAGAAAGGATTGAAAGGCAGTGGGTTCTGCATGGCAGGTGGAATTGCATAGCTCTGTTGGTGTAGGCAGATAGCTGACGCTTTTGGTCTGTGCACCAGAATGCAGATGAGGAAAGGAACTATTTTGTGCTCATCCCTGCTACACTAGTACATTCCCACTCCCAAGCAGATCATACAGCCAATTACTGGTTACTGCTGGAAGGCCTCAGTTTTACATCGTGGTCTCAGGGATGTGGCTGACCTGGCTAGTTAAACATCAGTGCTGTGTGTTCTGTGTTTTTATGAATTTTTAATTGCCGAAGTTGTCTTGGCCTTCCCAGGGGACGGAGGTAGCAGATGCTTGAGAGTCAAGTGCAGGAGATACTTCAGGTCTATGTCTGCCTTGTTACTGGATGTCAGCTTGGCCTGCCCTATTGCCACCAATGCCTTTGCAGCAAAAATTTTGGTGCTGTTCTAGTGCATCCCCACTGGACAATCTTGCCTCCTCTCTCTGAGCAGATATAGCAATAAAATGTGAGTTTGTTTCTTATAGTTGTTTTGAGCATCTCCTCTTCCTCAGCTCATCTTAAATTCTTCAGGTGATCAGGTTAACATTGATCCAGAGACCTCATGTAACCAGAACATGTAGCGGATGAGGCTGTGATACCACACTACTTTGTTGTTGCTTTGGCCAGCGAATTTTATACCTGCAAAACGTACTAGAAACAACACCTGATAGTGAAGATAGCCTCTTGCTTCCATGTGACCTCTGGATTTGTTTGTTACTAAAAAATGGCAATTCAAGTGAGGCTAAAAACTGAGTATAAGTGAAAAATAAGTGCTGCGCAGCTTCATCCTTCCTTCTGACGTGTCTTTCTCACAGAATGTTTGAGGTGATGCCTCTGTTCAGTTTGTGCACCACACCCTTTTTCTACTTAACACAGCTGTGTAGGTTTTAGGACACTCAAATACTACGGATGTGAATGCAATATGGAACTTAAGTCCCAGAGCAATGAATTTTCAGTCTTTTCTGATTGTGTGTAAACTTCTTCTAATGAGAATGCGGATCACAAAATGGCAAAGATAAACCTAGTCATAACAGAACTCATTTTCAAAGAAATTTGTGAACGATAATGAAGAAATAATTGAACGAAAAGCTAAGAAATACACAGTGAGAAAGGCAGAGTGTAAGTATGGTTGTGGAAGCAAGCTTAACTGGTATTTTCTGGGCTTACCTCCCTTGCTTTGCAACTTCTGTTTTGACACTACCTTTTCTAAACATTTTTAAAAATACTTTGTTTTCATTGATTTGAGCATTAAATGGATCTTTTTTAATATCACTGAATTAGGATTTGGGAGTGCTCAAACTTCCCAGTGCTTTTTCACTTCTGCTGTTGTGTATGTTATACAAATGTTTTAGTGATACAGCTCATTTTATTAATTGCAGTAGAAAAGATTGTTACTTCGATTTCCTAATGAAAAACTGACAGTTTTTCTGAATTTAGGTACTTCAGGTGCTGAAGGAAAAGCTGTCTTTGCTCCCTGACAACCACAGGGATGCTTTAGCAGCTGACATTGATGCAATCATGTACACAACAGAAGGAGATGTTCGCATTTACTATGATGATGATGGTATGTTTAGAATTCTAAAACATTTCAGCAATGGGCAGTCTTATTTCCTGGTTTTGCTACGAAGCAGGCCTTCTCCTTGCAGATGTTGTTTTGAGTACTGTTGCTCGTTCCTTGTTCTTCTGTTTATAGTTCATCTATATATAATTCCCAGATTTCCTTTTAAACCAGAACCTGAGAGATTATTCTTAATAAATCATGGGACTGTTTTGACTTCTGTTTAGGTCTTGCCCACTATGCTTCTTTTGTAATTTCAGACTTTTACATTATTAGTCCTTTAGCAATCTCAAACCACTCAAAAACAATTATTCTACTATATGCAGAAAGCTGTTGCTTCAGCAATGAAAACATATCTTCCAAGAAGAATAGTGAAGGCTGGATAATGAAATAAATTTTGCTATCTTCACTTCTATTCTGCTTTCATGGAATATGCTTTATTCTAGGACTTCTTGATTATTTTTTTTTTAAGCTAGCGATGAGCTCAAACAAGTTTTTCTTCTGGTTAAATACCAGCATTATATGCTCAGTTCACTATCAGACACAGTTGGCATGGTTTATAATGTAACCATGGGTCTTCCAAAGAGCATTTCAAATTGTCAGACATAGTAAGCTTTTTTCTTGTTTTGGGGGAATAGGGAATTTTTTTTCTCTTAATTAGCTCCCCTGAGTTTCACCTACTCTACATACTTTTGTAGTATCGGTAGTTGGCTTTGGACCTTGTGGTAATCAGCTTTTCTTCATATGGTTTGATTATGTACAGTGTCATGCAACCAGCACTCATGATAAAACACATACCTTTCTACAGAATGTATTTTTAATGTTGCTAAACAGCATGAATATAGCTTTAAATAGCTTTATTGGTCACTATTCTATCATGCGTTCTTTATGGCTGAAGTCAGCTGCCCTTCCAGTGTCTCACTAGAATGTATGCTAGATAGCAAACAGGAGTATTTAAGCAATGAGAAAAATGAGATTTACCTTATGCTTTGATTTATTTCCAACAGGAAGAAAGTTTGTTAGTATCCTGATGCGTTTTTGGTATCTGAATGGTGCTAACCTACCTGATGAAGTACCAGGTGAAACCAAAGTTTTCCAGATTGTGTTTGGAGATGAAAGCACAGAAGAGAAAAGACATCTTTTAACAGCAAACTATGAGTAAGTTTACTTGTTCGATTTTTTTTGGTGGTTTTTTTTTTTTTTTCTTCCATGTACACAGGCTAGCTGTGTGGAAAGCAGTTTAGGAACTGAAAGCATTCACACTGTGCCAGTGCAGAACTTGGTGTGTTTTAATTTACCTTGATGCTAATTTAAGTTAGTTCTCATCCAGCTTTCTAGTTTTTATTCTAGGGCCAAATTTTTTTAAATACCCCTTCAAGTCATTATATTATTACCTTGCTTGTGAGTTGAGATTAATGAGAGCTCTCTCTCTCAGGAAGAGCAATAGCTAGAGCACTGAATGAGATTTCTGATCCTTTCCTATACTGCTCCTGCAGCTTTCAGGAAGTAGGTCAACATCAGTCCTTGTTTCCCATTTCTTGCAGCACAGCTAACAGCAATGAAGTCAAGCCAAGCAGTCAAGTGTGATGCTGTTGACTTGTCACTTCCTGCACAGAAGTCAGAACTGCAATTAGCTGAAAAAGTAGCTCATGAAGGAGGAAATTTTTGAGCCAAATGCTTTCTGCAGAAGGGCAGAACAAAGCAGGCATCACCTGGTGTTCAGATAATTCATACCACTCTGATCCAAGCCCTCAAAGCACACATTAGGTAGATGGATTCTCATAGAAATGCTTGTAAATAATGTCTGTATTAGTGTACTGATCGCAGAGCAGTGCAGAAACATCCGCACAGTTGGCAAAATGTACTGAAAATAACATTCTCAGAAGTTGGAAAAAATGAGGGGTTTTGTGAGACAAATGCAATATAATTAATGGCTTCTACACCCATGTTTGAAATGGAGAGACTATGGGGTCTAGATGATCAGGAGTTCTGAAACAAAGGAAATGCTCTGATGACACCAGTGCTTTTTGCTTGTGTGGATTTTTGTGGATCCATCCCTTAGCCGAATTCAGCATGGTTTTTACAGTTGGAGTCTTCTGAAGCTCCATTAACCTCAAGAACCTCCCCTGAACGCCCTAAATACCTGTTCCTAAACACCTAAAGTATGTATTCCTTCTGTTGTTTTCAGTGCTAACCGCAAATGGGCAAAGATACTACAGGCCTTGGAAGCCTAGTGTTAAGTATTTGGGTGTCTGGAGAAGACAGGTTCCAGGAGTGGATTTGTGTGTAATTGCAAAGCACTGAGGTTATACTGCTCTTGTCCACAATACACCGGTTACTTGGGAGCATGAATATTCAGCTTGAAGCTCAGACTTATCTTTAGATGACAAGCAGTCAAAACTGACATGCTCAGGGAGAAAGACATTAACAACTACAAAAGGAAGACACAGATTCTTTGAAAATAGGGATGGATGTTTTCATTTTCCTATCAACAGCTGCGTAGTTTTCTTTCAGGGAGATTCAGTGCTACTGTTAGCTTGATCTTTGATGTATTTCTGAAAACATTGATTTGTAAAGTATAGTTCAGTAAAAATGAAAATTTTCAGGTAGAATGCGTAGCATGTGATTTCCCTTTACAATGCAGTTACCATCCCATTAAACGAAACCCTTTATTTAGAGATGAAGATCTGCCACAAAGCTATATGCATAGTTACTGCTATGAAAACTGAGTGCTTTCTTGGTATCAGCATCTTTACTGTTGCTGCTTAGTCCTGTCTGTGGGATCCGAACCAAAATACTCTGAAGTCAGTGCACTTTGTTCCTTACTATAGAATTCCATTTTGGGGCACAAGCATCAGTTTAAGGAGGTTTTACAGGGATAACTTTGAAGTAAAATATTTCTTCATGTTTTCTTGTTGGAGTTAGTAGCTCTTTCAGGATCAAGTAAATTTTAACAACTCTTCACTTACTGTCTTTTTTTTTCCAGGTTCCAAAGGGAATTTACAGAAGGAGCAAAACCAGACTGGACAATTACAAGGATTGAACATCCAAGGCTATTGGAATAAATGCCTTCTACAGTCTTTTTATGTACCATTGTAAATGTTGTGATGTAACAAATATCAGGCTTTTTTGTCTCTCTTTTCCCTTCCTGCCTTCTCCTTCAAAAGAGGGATGAATTTTGTATGTTTGATTTCCCAGAATTGTTTCTGAAACTCACACTGTGCTGTGGCATTACAATAAAGCCTTTTCCCTGGAGCAGGCTAGTACAAGTTTAATTAGTGCTAATGCTCGTCCAAGGCATTTACACAGCACAGTTTCACGCAGGCTGGTATTACAAGTGTGTCAACTTCTTATATTCTGAGAAGAAATGGTATTACTTGAAGATAACACTTTTATGGCTAGTGGCCCTTCTGAGTTATTTTCATATGTTTCTTTTTTCCCCTAGGGACTGTACAATATATAACTGAATAATATGCAAGATGAACTAGAGGTAGATGGACTTCTTAGATTGTCTAGCCTCAGCAGTTCATTTTGAGGTAATCTTGCTTTTGAATATATTTGGGATTAAGAAAGTTAGAGCCATTATCAGCATTTGGTACAAGATTGGAGTAAGAAAAAACTTTTAGCATTGCACTGGGAAAATGGATCAAAGATAGATATATATATATATATTCTGAAAAATATAAACAGCATTTCTTTCAATTCAATAACATACAGGCAATTCCAAGTTTGGAGGTTTAGGAAAAAAAAATCAGTTGAAAGCATGAATTTAAAGGAGTGAAACTAAATGAAGTCCTCTGTTTGAAACACCTGTTGAAGAAATGAGCAAATCATTAAAATTAGGTGTTGCAACTTAACGGTTTCTCAATTCTCAGATTATCTCTGTTTCTGGAACATGAGATCCCTGGTGTAAGTAGCTTGAGATTTTTATATACAGATTAACAGGAGATCATCATAACAGGGTTTCTTATCCCCTATCTCAATTTTAAAGCTAAAGCTAACTGTCCACCCAAGCATGTTGTACAGATTTGTGCAGTGCTTTGGAAGTGTAAAATAAGTATAATTACTGTGATTCAGAATAGTTGTTATTGATAATTATAAATTAAATTTTCCGTAGTTCAGCTCTTCTGATGCAGTGATTTAATGAGAAGAATGTTTAACACTTATCAGCAAGTTTTTCTGTCAAATCCTGGCAAAATAATTATGGTATTTTGCTCTGCCTTAGCAGCAGCAGCCTGGCCTTGAAATGGAGAATTTGTGATTTGTCCTCTGTACAAAGTTAAGTGATGACAGAGTGTCTCATCTTCAGGAGAGGAACAAAATTCTGTATCTGAAATTACATATCGCCATTTTGTACGCAGTCAGTCTGCAAAAGTTTGAGGCAAAACAAAAAATGTTTTTTATTCTGTGGGCCATTTGCTGAGTGATGCTAAATGATAGCATGTCCAGTTGGGCCACTGAATGATGTCCTGCAAGAAGCTGCAATCAGCCGTATTTAACACAGTGACAGGAGAAACAAGCAGAACACTAGTGAATTGTGCAGATCTAAGATGCACTTAGATGAGAAGTGATTATTATGGAGCAAAAGACGACAAAAGCCATTGAAGCCATCTTTATATTCAGGAGGGTCTGCTTTCACATTAAAGTAACAGAGATCTATCTAGAAGTGCTGGTATATCTTCATTTTTAATTTGGGTTACTTTATTAGTATTTTTTTTTGTTTGTTTGACTGGATATATCAAAACGGGAGTATCTGTCATGACTGATGAAGGATTGCCCTTTTACTAGTGAGTGCTCCGTCTTTGGAAGCAAAGGCAGAGTAGACCCTTCTGTATGACTAATAATGAAAAAAGATTTTTTGTTTTGTTCACTATAAAATTGTGACTTGATATGAACATGCTCCAAATTGATGATAACACAGTTTTGCTGGAAAAAAAAAAAAAAGTCGTCATTGGAAATTTACATGCACTATTTTATTCTTTCAAAGTTTTATTTGTCTTGTGGGTTGCGGGGTGGGGGTGGCTGTTGGATGTTTGGGTATTTTTCCCTTTTAATCTTCATTCTTAAAATTATCCTGGAGACTACAAATCTCCATCAGATGCAGAACTACCCATGGCCTTATTGCACCAAAAATAAATTGGAAAGGCACATAAATTACTAAGCTTACTGAAAGTGGTTTGCTTCCAGAGTGAATAAAACTGCTATAATTAAACTGGATTTACAGTGTAATACTGGCTTGAGAAAAAGCCACTGCCCCACCCAAAAGAAACCCCACAAAATAACCCCAAACCCAGCTTGGAAGGAGTGGGCAGGTGTACATCTTCAAGAAGACGGCATTGAAGTTTACAGGAAGCTTTGCCTCCTTTTTACCTGCCATCCATAAATTCTCTGTCATAAATCTGATCATCATAGGAATTAATCAGACTGAAGTGAATGTCAGTGCTTGTCATCTTATGGCACCTACATTTTCTCTTGTGGAAATACTTTTCTGCCATGTCACCTGTTCAGGCAAAACAGAAACTTAGTTTCTATGTTGCCAGCCAAATACATCTACCCAAACGTCTATTATCTAAGATAAGAAATGTATTTAGTGTCTTCAAGCTAGCTCCTAGTGAATATATTTCTATATACTATAAAAGTTGTCCCAAATTCTTATGGCAAAAAGGACAAGTAAAGGGTTAAGTTTGCTTCATCTTGATCAAAGACTTACAGGGAAAGATGGAGAAGAATATTGTCTTATAATTTGGGGATTTCCAGTGCTGCTGTTCAAACACCTTACTCTAAAAATCATAATACTAACTTAACTGTTACTGAATTTTTTTCTAAAGAAAGAATTTTATTAGAAATATCTTCATGATTTAGGAGTAATGATGCTGAATGGGGAACACTAGAGCATGCTACTGCTCCCAGATTCTCTTGCTGATTCGTCTTAGACATCATCTTAGAAATCACAGTCTGTAAGGATTTGGGTGTGCTTTATTTCCCTTCCATCTCCTTGCCTGGCTTCCATTTCTATTGCTGTAAGTCAGGGGAACAAGTACAATTGTAATTATGGTGTACAGCCTGTAAATCCCCATACATGCTGATCTAAAATACTTGCAGTTTGAGCATGCATACTTCTTTATTCAGATCCCAGTAATTCCTGAAAACAATGTTACCAGGTTTAGTAGTGATTTTTACGGTAAAATTCATTTCTCTGTTAGCAATGCTGACATTTCTGATTCATGTTACACACCACAGGGAGGTCTCAAGGTGTCTGGCCTACGCTTGAACTGGGATGGAGATTCAAAGCACCACATTCTCCGCCCGGCCTGGGTGAAATCACGTTTCCTTGGGTTCACGCGGAATTTAGGCAGCCTTTATTTATTTATTTGTTCATCCAAAACTGTGGTCATGTTTACTAATTACTGACAGTGCTCAACTCTACACAGCTGCTTGGCACAATTTTGGTGTATGTGTCTAAATCTTGACAATTAAAGCTGGCCAACAAAAAGCCTGTAAATTTGCACACCCCACTCACCAGTAGATGGCCTTGGTCACAAAGGTGTTGTGGCTGGGAGGTGACTGGCAATAGTGAGAGTGTAAGAGGAATAAAGAAAAAATGGTAGAGGCATTGATTCTCATTTAAGTGCTATTTAAATAATTTAAACTTGTTTTATTAAAAAGTCGTGATATTCTTACTGGCTTTCATCAAGTTAATGGCTTGCATTCTTTTTGCAGTGCCTCCCCATTTTAAAGGGCCAATTTAACAATGTTCTTAATATAGGCAAGATGAGTTGTACCTGTGAATTCACACAGGCACCTTAGTATCTAACAGTAGCAAACCTTAGTTTTGTATTCACATCTTCAAGTGTGTTTATCGTGTTGATTGTGGTTCCTTTCCCAACTGTCCCAGCATTTTCTGATTAATTCGGGGGCCACATTCAAATTTCTCCAGATTTTAAGGCATGTTCAAGTTTGACCTTACCTTCACTTCAGGTTATATTTAGTTAATTATTTTCAGGTCTTATGGCTGGAAAGCTGTTCAGCAGTAAAAGTCATACTGTTTGTCACAATGTAGTGATCGTACTCATTCAAAACTTCTCAAGTGCCGTGCTTCTCTTTTTCGTTGTGTGGTTAAACTTGTTTTCTGCCCCAGGTGGGGGCCTTTGAGATTCCTCACAGGCTGCAGTCACATGATGGCTTCCAGCTTATATGAGATGGGATACAAGTGTGTGTAATGGGAAGTGGCTTTGGCTTCATTCCTTCTTCATACATGGGTGTGACAGTTGCTCTCTAAGCATTGAATGGTGTGTGGGTACAGGAGGAGGTATATAGCTGTTAAAAAAGGAAGTATTGCCTATATAGCTGTGCTTTTATTCTTCTAAGGGAAAGGCAGCTGGGCCAAATAGAGTTGCACAGTGAGTACTGGCCACAATAAGTCACAGGGGTTTCCCTCCTTGTTTTTTACTTTTTTAAAAATTTTTTAATTTTTTTTTTCTTTGACCCATTGCTGATGTGCTGTTCTGGGGTTTCTACAGCCCTGCTGACCAGGATGGGGGTTGAGTAAGTCACTATGTATATCTATAGCACTATTGAAAACACCCCCTTTGCTGCAACTCTGTCTCTTATGTGTACTTTGTTTTAATTCAGTGATGTATTGTTTTCCTAATATAAGATTCTCCTATTGAAGTTGATGGGGAGACTGTCATGGATTTTAATGGGAGCAGACTGAGTGCAACTTTTTTGCTGCCTTTGAAGTTACTCTGTTAGAAATAGAGGCAAGCTAAAATTAGATGCGCCGTAGTTTCTCTTGTGTGCTATTTCTTCCCTCCTCTGCTGCCACAGAACAAGACTTCTGATAGCTTGTTACTGTAGTGCTCAGGATCTGTGAGGGAAAGAAGCAGGACAAGCAAAGCAAAGTGCATGCGTAAGCAAGGTCAGATCACAGTAGTGTCAGGCTGTTAGGACAAGGTTGTCCATATGGACAAATCTGACTTTTTGGCTTTGGAAAGCTTCTATCCCTGATTTGCTACTGTTGCACCTGGCATTTTGTGAAGGATGCAGCCCTTTGCCTCAAGGACATGGGAGATTTGGCACATACAGGGAAACAAGTGGTGATTTGAGTGTTCCTCTAAACTGTATTTTGCAGTTGACAATAACCTTTTACATAACAAGCTATACTTCTACTCTGATTTGTGTATGAGGGAGGGACCTGAGTTTCCAAGATTAGAACTGAAGTCCAACCTTAAGTTTGCAGAGATTTCACAATCTGATTGGGGAGGCATGGGGGAGGCTGCCTAGGTAAAGCTGTGGTAAATCAGAGCCAGCTACAGGCTGTCTCTGCTTTACACTAATTAGCAGCTGGCACATCCCTAGAAATCAGGAATGAAAAAGGGGAGGGAGGGAAATGCCTTCATAATCCCTTTCTTC